TACAATCACAACAACATCTGGAATGTACTCTTCGGAACCATCATCTACTGGTGTGCCGTCTATTGTGTTATGCAGACACAAGTGCAGCGATACTGTAGTATGGAATCACCGCAAAAAGCACGAAGGTTAGTTATTACATGCTAGGTGATTACTGTTAACTAAGGAATTAGTAATTATTGTCCAAATGTATTGGCAGAACCCTGTACTACAATCTTCCGGGTCTTGTGATATTGGCTGTGATGGCAGTGATGTGTGGAAACGTTTTATACGCCAAATACCGCAACTGTGATCCGGTCACTCTTCGGCTCATCGACAGACACGACCAGTTGATGCCATACTATGTTATGGACACTTTGGCCAAATACCCGGGTCTGCCCGGACTATTTGTCGCCTGTGTTTTCAGCGGTTCGCTCAGGTATTACAATATAGTGACAATAAATGTTACCAAAGTATTTATATAAAACATTAATTGACAATATTTAAAATGAGTTAATGTTTATCAAATTAAATGAATTGTTTGTGCAAAAAGCACTTTGTCTTCAGGTCTGAACGCATTGGCAGCGGTCACGTGGGAGGACCTGATTAAGGATAGGATTACATTGAAGAACGAGAAACAGGCCCTCACTATCACTAAATTGATTGGTATATCATATAATCCATTCAAATGATAATTATAATAAATTTAACTCCATGTATATGTGAAGCCATGGGATATGGTTTACTGTCGATTGCCATGTCGTTTGGTGTGGGAAATCTGGGCACAGTATTGCAGGCCTGTATGGTTTTAGTCGGTTCAATGGTTGGCCCGCTATTTGCTATGTTTCTCATCGGAATATTCTTTCGGTACTCGACAGCACCGGTATCTATAAGATTGGTTTGAATCGATAGAAATATAAGTTTTTAAAACATATAAATACTTTCAAATTAAAGGCCACTTTGATTGGATTCATTTTGGGAGTGTTGGCCAGTCTATCGTTATCTATTGGTTCGTTGGTTATCCCTCGCCCTCAGGTCTCGTTACCGACAACACTGTCTGAGTGTCCACAGGATGTGATCGCCTTTACTCTCGATAAATACCAATCACTTCCAAACTCTTCATACATACATTCCTACGACAATCCAGAGTTAGTTATTATCCATTTTTACATAGTTTTGATTTACAATATAATTTATACATTATTATATCAGTTAAATAAAACACGCTTTACTTTTTTAGAGGTTTGGCTAAATATTTCCACATTTCATATCTACTTTTATCAATCATTGGATTTCTAATGACATTATTAGTTGGATTACTTCTTAGTCTATGTGTCGGTCAGTAATTAAAATAAATTAATATATTATAAAAAACAATTTTTAAAACTTTAATCCAAAACCTCTTATTCATAGGAAAGCCTCCAAAATGTGTGGATGAAAAGTTGATTATCCCTTTGGATCAATATCTCATCAATTGCTTTAGATCTAAAACAAAATAATTAAATTTAATTCAAAATCTGGTCATACATTTAGATCAGTATTTCATCGCAAACTTTAGACTCAATAAGAATTAACAAAACTATACTTTATATGCATTTCTGTCTGATATTTGTTGATAAATAAAGTGATAAAACATTTTTCAATTCAACACAAGTTTTGAATTTAATGCCAAAACTGAACACAAGTGGAGATTTCAATACATAAGATGTGATCCACGGCTTACACACGGCGTCCATCACATGACACCAGTTCTCGCACATGGAGTCCAAACAGATGGATAACTCCAGACACCGATCACAGTGTCGGTACAGTTGGGACCAAACAGACGGTCGAACCCATGATTTGGTGCCGAAGACGACAAGTCTTTGGCGGTCACCGAACAGACGGTTGACTCGTCATTGTTGGCCACCAATCAGATGGAAGGACAGAGTCTCACTCAAGTGATGACAGTTTTGGGACCGAACAGACGGTTCCCAATCGGGGCTGAGAAACAGTTGGCCACCGATCGCAAGACAAGTCAGTTGGTCTCCAATCAGGTGTCAGACCATTGGCGCCGATTGACAGTTGTGTTGAGACACTTGGGAACCAATCAGACGGTTCTCCTTCGGCTGCGTTCGTACAATGAGGTCAGAGTTTGCCATAAATCAGATGATAGACCCGATGCGCCGCCCATTTAAAAGATCAAAGTTGAGGTCCAAACAGATGGTCGGCCTCCGGCGGCGATCCCTCGACAAGTGACGGCTGGTCTCCAATCAGATGGTCAACCATTGGCGGAGAGTCACAGTAAGAACCGATCAGACGGTTGTCCTCCGGCGCCGATTCACACGACAAATACTCAAGTGTTGGACACGAATAGTACAGCGACGGAGATATCGCTGATTCCTGGCTCTCGACCACAGATGTCGGCGTCTGATAATCGTGCAGATGTTTGGGTCGTCGATACGCGGCCTTCAGTAACGGGTCGTCGAGTATAGCGTCCAAAGACGGGCGCCAATAGAAGTCAAGGTTCAGCAGTTGATTCAACACTCGCCTGCGATCGCTGGCGTTCACACCCGGTGTCAGACGCAACAGTTGTCCGCCAATTAAACCGATCGCAAACACATCACAGCATCGGATGTCGTAAACAAACACTTGATTCGTGGCTTCGGGTGATTCATAGAATTCGTTCCCGTATTCGGCGGTCATAGGTATGGGTTGTCCCGTCTGGTCGTCGACCGCTGTCTTAATGGCCCCGAAATCACTGATCTTTGCCACTAATCCTCCGCTCGTCTCACAGCTAAAGAGCAAAACGTTTTCGGGCTTCAGATCCAAGTGTGCGAACCCTTTGGTGTGTATGTATTGGACGCCACGGACTATGTCTTGAAACACTGTTAGAACCCATTGGGCGTCGAGTTGTCGGACAACCGATTCCTTGGTGTAGGGCTGAAGACTAGACTCGGCCGCAGACATCACTATCACGCGATTGCGTCCGCTCTCGGGGTATGTGATTGGATGCGCCGACAAGACATTCAAGTGATTCCATGCCATCATTCTCTTCAGCTCTTTGTCGATGGATTGAAGTGAATTGAGGCAAAACTTAACGGCCACTCGTTTGCCATTGTGTAGAGCACTCACTACCAGTCCGTTACTACCGGTTCCCAAATGTGAGCTCAAGTGGAGGCCATTCGCTAAGAGTAGAGGCGACGAGTCTTTGATGATTGAGTTGTAGTCACTCTTATAGCCACGACTTGTCTTGAGTCCAACCAACAAGTCGTCGATATTGTCTTTAATATCGGTCGCCGAAGGCCTCCAGTCTTTAATGACTGTCTCGACGTTAGTCCACAAGTGATGGATGGGATGGACTCCTGCGGCGGGTTTTCGCCACAATTGTAGTGCTTTTCTCCTAAAGTGTTGATTCACTTCAGGACTGAAAGTGTTTATTATTGCCATTCTTTGATCACTATTCTTGAGAATGGACTCCAATTCCATTGGACTCCAGTCTTGGGTCTGAATAGCGTTGAGGTATAGGAAAGAGATAGTCCTCGGGTTCTCGACTCTCAACCTTTTCGAGTCGTCATCCAATCCATGGATCCGTTTCCTCGCAGACAACACGACGGCCAAACACTGACCAATCGCTGGACAGTACTCTGCTTTGGATCTCTTGGACTCCGAGACTGCGATCTGATCGTCGAAGTGGTGGTCGAGACGTCTCTTAACTCCGACTCTCCTCAGCGGTGGCTTATAATCGGCTCTTTCGGTCCCGAATCGCGTTCGCAATGATCTGACGACTCGTTTGGCTTTCGCACCGAACTTACGGCATGTCTTCCACAGAGTCTTGCCTTCAGAGCCACCGGAGTGTGTGTTCACCGCAAGTCGTCTCCTTGCAGTCCGTATGGCTCTGTCCGGCCGAATGGCAGTCGACTTCTCTGGTCTTGGCTTTGGTTTAGTGTTAACTGCTATTACAAAGCGATACAAACAATACTTACGTTTCTTAGGGTTAGGGATCTGAAGAGTGGTTGGGTTGGGGGCAGGGGTTGGGTAGCAGTGGATGATCATCGACTCGTCCTCCGATGCGGACACCAATCGGGTGTTGCTATTGGGGTCTAAGACGTAAATCTTACGGCTCCTCGAGCTGACAGTCGATCCGCTGATCAGTATTGGCATAACGAATGTATGGGTGAGTGATTTGGTTGAGTGGATGTGTTGAGTGATAGTTGTGGTGAAGAAGTCTTGGAAAGACAGCTGAAATTGTTTTTTTGGATAAAAGTCCTGGAAAAACATATAAACCTTAAAAAAAATTTCAAAATTTTCGAAACCTTTGTTAAAAATTTTCAAAATTTTGAAAGTTATGTATTAATTGTTGCGATAAAAATGTAATTCAATTGAAACTGAGATTAAATGCAATCAATTGACTATAAATAATGAATGCATTAATGAATAATCAGATCATTAAAACCAACAGCAAGGTCAAATTGAAAATAATAGTAAATCAATTGAATACAAAACCTTATAATTGTTAACACTATTCACACAATTAAAGTTATAATCAAAATCTGGTCATACATTTAGATCAGTATTTCATCGCAAACTTTAGACCCAATAATACTTAACTAAACTATATATGCATTTATAACACTATCCAATCAGAGCAGGTATTCAATAAACCAGTGCTAAAATTAATATAAAATTTAATTAAATAAAAGTTAAAACAACTTTTTAAAAACTTAATTAAAAGTTTCACCAAATAGTTTACAACAAAAAAGTCACCAAAAGATGTCTATAGTATGAAACCAATCAAACTTTACACACATTATAAGTATAAACAAAAAACAGTATAAACCACACAATAATATGCACATCAAAATTAGACTATTTAACACAACACATACACAACAGTCAGCCATACATACATCACATAATAAAAAGGTACCAAAACAGCGACACAAGTCATACCACACATGAGAGCCCACTTTATGGCAGCACCGGTCGGGCACTGCATTCACAGAGCATTGAATGCCTGATACAAGTAGTGGTAAAACACATCCTTTTCCTCTTTCACACCAATCGCGCAAACAATGGTATGTATTATATGTTTGTCTTCCTCTTCACCACTCAATTAACCACCGATTGTCTCACTCCATGTCCACCACTCGCAGCCACCGAAAGGCGATAAGGGAAAGAAGGACGCGAAAGCTCCGGCCAAGAAGAAGGAGGGCTCCGGAGGGGGCAAAGCCAAGAAGAAGAAGTGGTCCAAAGGCAAAGTGAGGGACAAGTTGAACAACTTGGTCCTCTTCGACAAAGGCACTTATGATAAGTTTGTGAAAGAAGTTCCCTCTTATAAGTTGATCACACCATCGGTGGTGAGCGAGCGGCTGAAGATCAGGGGTTCGTTGGCCCGCAAAGCGCTGCTCGAGTTGCACGAGAAGGGACTGATCCGACAGGTGATCAAACATCACTCGCAGACGATATACACGCGAACCACGAAAGCGGACGACGCGGCCGAAGAGGAGGCGGCGGCGGAAGCGGCCGCTGAGGCCGGAAAGGGAGGCAAAAAAGGCAAAAAGGAAAAGTCTTAAGCGATTTAGCCGTTTGTTGATAATTGTCTCCATATTTTCCTCATCTCTGCTCTCGGAGTGTATTGTGTTTTGTAATCAGTCTTTGAGAAGAAGTATTTAATTAAAATAAAATAAATGATTTAAATTGAATACAAATTGTTTTGTGTTATTATTTATTTTGTAATTTTTAATGTTTAGTGCAATGAATAGCCGTTGAAATACACGTTGTGTTGAATTGCCATACATTTTGCCATCAATTGTACGTCCATTTAATGACACGTTTTTCACATATTTTTGGACAGCATTTATGGCTTTAACACTGTTTTGGGTTTTTTGCATTTATTGGCCGTAACTGTATTTGTGAATTGCGCTAATGATCACAAACACCGTTACGTCAATAAAGGGGGAGAGAATGCGTGGAGGGGTTTATGCGTTGAATTAACGATAAGAGGCCAAAAAGGGGCGCAAAGTTTATGAAGAGATAATTGTGTGACAGATATAGTGAACAATAGTTACGATTGTTTTGATGCAATCGTTGACACAAACCATAACTCAATCATCGCTTTTGTGTTCACATCAAGACATCAACACTTCCTCCGCAGTCGACCCGTAATTGTCATCACATTATGTCAACCGATGGGGAGAAGCCTAAGACGGCCGAAGAGGTGACGGATCCGGAGGTGGACGAAGAGTTGTCCACATTATTGGACAGTAAGTGTCGTGTTTTGGGATCAAGTGTTGGGTTTTTCCCATCATTTCTATGTAATTGTCTCTTATGTGCCATTTATCTGATCCATAGGCGCTCTCAACGAGTTTCGGGTGAAGCCGAAAGCGAGTGGCAAAGCGCCCGATGTGTGCGAAGTGTCTGCCATAGCGAGCGGTGGTGTCGTCGGCGCGACCTCTTCGGGCCTCACAGAGGATCCAGAGGTTCCGGACTTAACGCCCAACTCTTTTGAACACAATCTGAACACAGATTTCGCCAAATTTGATGAAATGTTTTCGCCGTTAATTAATTCCGATCCTCAGCTCAAAGAGCACTGGACTCGACTCACTGAGTCGTGCGCTGACGCAGGTCTGGCCACCCCTTCCCCTAAACCGCCGCCACTCTTACCATTGATTACTGACTGTGTCTTAAATCCATAGCTAACGCCACCAGTGATGAGGAGTTCCAGAACTCATTACAGGAGACATTGAAGACCATATCGGAAAAGGCGCAGACAGTGGTCGGTCAGGACAACAACCTCTC